GTGGGACTAAAAATGTGCACCCTATCCATGGACTTCTTTATGTGTCTGTTTGCATTAGCTGGTTAATATAGGAGGCAGGAAAGGAAATCTAAAGGTGAGCCTGATTTGGGGGTTCAGACAATATAGGCGTTTGATGTAAAGAGAATCTATGAGATCCTGTGGGGAAAAAAGAAGCCACAAGATCTAGTGATAGGAGGAGAAATGGTGGTTTCGGGGGAGTCGCATGCCATTACCTGCAATCATTAAAGCTCAGCCAACCTCGTATACCAGCACTCTGGGGATAAAAGGCTTCTGTTTCCTCGGGGAAATAGCTATTCCATTACGCTGATTGGGCCTCTCTAGAAAAGTAGGACTCAGCGGAAGAATGTCGGTATCCAACTTGCAGAGGAAAGGTTATCAGTGTGAAGCCGCAGCAGAACATCAGGCAACATCCCAGAGGCGAGCAGCAGCCGTACTGAGTGTTTAGAGCAGAGAGGCCGACAGGGGTGGTAGGAAAATAGCACAGCAAGTTGTCTGTGCATGAGAATGATGACTGGGAGGACAGCAGGAGCCATGGGGTAGTCAACAGTCTAGACAACAAATGAGAGGTCAGAAAACTCACTTTGGGTCTGGTTTTAAAACAAGAGGGAACAATGAGAGAGGCAGAGAGATGGAGGTCCGGGCAATAGTAGGTTGGGAGTGAACTAGCAAAATTCAGATGGAAATGTAACAGTATGCTCATTTGTACACAGATACCACGAAAAGCTGGGGACAAAGAAAAAATAATAAAACCTGGGGACATTCAGTCTGTATATTATATTCTTATTTTTTCACAAGACTAGGGCCTGACATAGTAAGTTATCATTTACTGTCATTGTTCTCTGACTTTAAGCAAAATGACATATAGCAAAAACAATTTTACGACATTGAATGAAACATAATTAGAGGAGTACGTCCATGTGTGACTCTGCCATGCCTCAGAGAGCTACCTGCCAGAAAACATCCCTATGTGAGACGTAATCACTTGATATTGAAACACTTCAACTGGTTATAGGAAGTGAGCCCAACGCTGCCCTGGTCCAGGAAGACTGCTTTAAGCATGAGCTTATTTCCTGTTAAGAATACCTTTTATCTTATTATTATTTTTTTAATCCTCACCTGAGGATATGAGTTGTTTTTTTCCATTGATTTTAGAGAGAGAGGAAGGGAGAGAAAGAGAATCATCGATGTGAGAAACATCAATCCATTGCCTACGTGCCTGACCAGAATCAAACCCACAGCCTAGGTACGTGCCCTGGCTGGAACTGAATCTGCAATCTTTTTGGTGAACAGGGACGATGCTCCAACCAGCTGAGCAAGAATGACTTTTATTTTTTAACTAGAGGTCTGGTGTACAAAAATTTGTGCACTCAGGGGGGTCCCTCAGCCCAGCCTATGCCCTCTCCCAGTCTGGGAGCCCTCGGGGGATGACCACCTGCTGGCTTAGGCCCACTCCCCGGGGGGGATTGGGCCTAAGCTGGCAGTCAGACATCCCTCTGGCAGCCCGGGAGCCCTCTGGAGATGTCCACTTGCCAGCGGGGAGCAGGCCTAAGCTGCAGTAAGACATCCTTAGTGCTGCTGACACTCC